GGAACTTGGTCATGATATAGAAAGTGTCGTGCTTGTTGTGGACCTTTTATAAGTTGTAGCATTGCTTTTTTTGTATTTCTCTCCTTTGTTGTAACAGCTTCATTTTGGCACTCACTCAAAATACGTTTTGGCACTGGTTTTTTTATATTTTTGTCTTTGATTGCAGCAGCTTCATTTTGACGCTCACTTAAAAGGAGATCTCGTTTAGTGGATGTTGGTCGCCCTTTAGATACAACACGTAATGGTGCCTTTGGAACTATTATTTCCTCAGAAGCTAAAGCTTCAATTTTATGCAAAAATGTTGCTTTTGATCCGCAATCACTTAGGCTTTCATATTTTTCTTCTAGTTTGTATAAAGCCTTGCTAATTGCTTTATCAATTGACAGCGGCGAAGAAGACAATAAAGGTACTGAATCATGATTTAGATACCAACGAGGATGTACAATTGCAAGTGGAATAGGTTCAGTATGTGGAATCATATGACGGCATGGTAATTTAAAATTTAGTCTTAAACTACATTCACAATAACTATTTTCTTCGTTGTTGCTGTTTTCCTTATTTTCCTCAATTTCACATATCTCCCTTTTTATTCTGTCGATTGCCCATTTAGAAATTTTTCCAATTAGTTGTTCAAATCTTTTATCATTAAGAATGAATGGATCTGCGGAAACAATATTTAGTCCTAAAGCTCCATTTGTTTGTAGTTTATGTTGCCGAAAGGCACGATCAATATGTGAAAAAACTTGCTCTAAACCACTTGCAGCCTCTATTGCTTTCTTTAACCCGCTATGACTTCCTTCGGCTCGTTGCGTTGATTGTACACCCATATGTGGATAATTTTTTGTATATACGTGCATCCAACACTCAGCATCTTTCTTCCATTCTTCTAAGTAATTTTGTATATAGGTTGGATTTCTGCTTTTAGCCGATGCTTGTTTCATTTCTTCAAATGCTTTTTCAACCTCACTCATTTCCCTGGAATAAGCTATTTTTTGAACAGATGACAAAAATTTGTCATAATCTTCATCAGAGTCGAAAAACTTTCTGCACGCGGTACGTAAATTTTGCGCAAGCATATGCCATATGCAAAACATTTTTTTTGCTGTTGGAAAAACATTATTTGCTGCTTTTCGAAGGGCCAGATCTCTATCTGAGATGAATACTTCTGGTGTACAAGAAAAAACGTCATAAATTGTCTCCTTCAAAGTGTTTAAAAACCACGTGTATGTATGTTCTTGCTCATTTGCAACCCAAGCCATCGCGATCTGGTAAGTATTGAGGGTTTTATTATTGCCAATATTGCTAACACCGACGGCATTAACAAGAGGAAGTTTGTACAAGTTTGTCTTATAGGTCGCATCCACTATAAGTACTTCCGAACATATAGCCGCTTGACGTGCTGCCTCAATATGTGTAAAGAATAAATTTTGCATGGACCCATCTTTTGATAATAGATGCCGAATTACATATTGACATTCTTCCAACATTTGCAGAAGCCTCATAGTGGTATCGTTATTTGAGCCTTCATTTAAAGCATTTTTGATTCGATCACGTTCATTCATGATATCCTTTGTATATACAATTCCATTTTTCCAGTGTACTGCGTCAGCAATCGATTGAGTTGTTGCTCCACTTCTAAGCATAGTGTGAACCAGCTCCTTTTGTTCTTTGTTAATAATCCTATGTTGATGGAGGCAATGAACTTGTGATGAAGGGAGAAGTTCGTGGTTATGCTGACTTTATAAGAGCTTACTACCCAGACACCAGTATTTTCATTTAAAGTAGCTCTTAAAATAACAGAACAATTTTGACGTTTGGTGAATTTTTTTCTTTTTCTAGTTTTTTCAGTAATTTCGTGATTATTTCTGTATTTTCCACCCATTACACATTGTAGGGTAACAAAAGGAGTGCGACCATCTTTTTCAACACGCGACATTTTTGATGATGATGTGCTGAAAGCAAAGCCTAATGCCTTAGCACCTTGTTGAGCGGCTTCTTTGAATTGCTCTACCGTTGGGAATTCACTCCCGATTTTTGGAATTTGCAGCTTTGATTGTGACATGTTTAATCGTTTACAATTTTTTATATTTAATGCTGTTTCTTAATATTTTTATTAATTGACGTCAATATATTTTATAGATTTTCACTACCTACGCAGCACGATGTGGTTATCACAAAATAGAAATCACCAACTAATTGATGCAGTTATTATGAATTCAATTAAGCTTAGATTTACTATTATTGAGGAATCGCTAGCGTGCAAAAAAATAACTTGGCATCTTCGCATTTAAGCTTTTTATAATTTATGGCAAAAAAAAAAAAAGAATTAATCGAATTGAATCTTTTTTTGCCAATTCGGTAGCTTTGAACATAAAATCTGATGTGCTTATTGAAAAATGGTAAGTCACTTTTAAAATGTTTCTGATTTGGATATAAAAAACCCCATTTTTTTTTTTATTTGAACAAAATATAAATAATACTGAAACACTAATTTTTCCTAGTTAAGTTTTATTAAGATTCTCTGTCTTTTGTATTATTCATCTGTTCATGTGAAATGTATTATCATGTATGTTTCAGGCATTCCTAGGCATTAACCATGATTTGTTTCAGTCTTTAGTTATGATCGTCGCTGATTTAAGTCATCTCATGGTAGCTGGTTTGAACAAATTTATTGCCATTTAACACTGCATAGTGTTTTCACAAAATAATGCCCGTGATTAAAACCTAGGTATTATTCACATTAATTGGTTACTATGAATATCCTCCGAATATAGTACTCAGTTTTATATAAAGTATCCCGGGTACTATCAATTTTAAAACCCTGGGCAATATATTAGTGCTAAATGGCAGGTATACCGAATAATTCATTGTGAAGGCAATTAATTGCAATTATTTGCTATTATCCAATTAATTCAATTATTTGTAATTTTTGCTGCGGTGATAATATACATACGTACATAAAAGTATATTGGTTGATATTTGACGTCAGAAATTGTAGTTTAAAAAAAATAAGCTTGTAAGTAATTAAATAAAAAAGGTCAAGCTATCAAATGATTTCTTTTTTCTTTTTTTTTAAAGACCTGCATAATTTATATTTTTATTTTTAAATTTTCTTAGACCTGCAGGTGGGTGCAATTAATATTTCCAGTTTCAAAATAGAATGTAATTGCATAATAATTTAATTGCAATTACACCTGCTAAACGGTAGTTTTAATCTAACATTATTTTATTGTTTTCTAAATGCATATTACAAACATAATCCTATTTGATGTATTTAGAGAAGTCTGTATTAGTTAATATAGTAGTAACTCAAATGACTAAAGCCGCATCACATGACTGCACTGTCCTATGCATCACGTGACCGCACTGTTTATTATCACGTGATCGCACTGTCCCTAAGCACTGTCCGTAGATTTCGCGGTCCGTAAACTACCCCCAGGATCGCCAGAAAAATTACTATGTAATTTTTACTGTCACGTGATGATCAACAAAATCAAGCCAATAATGAACCACGATTTAGTGTAACGTTACGCGATCAGAAAATTTCAAAACAAACGTTCGATTAGAAAAAATCGCTTATAACACAAAAATTCATATATGAAACCACCATCTGCGCATTAATAAAAAATTTTCCTTGACCGATTTTACTATTAGAACACCTTATTCTAACCCTAAAATAGGCTCTAACCCTAACGTAAACAAAATTAAAGAAATTTGTCGAATATCACGTGATAGTAAAAATTTTTCTGGCGATGCTGGGGAAGATCGTGTCCGTAGACCTGGCGCCGTAGATCGTCCGTTACCCAGGATCGCCAACACAATTTTGCACTCACGTGATTACGGATAAAATTCTTTAAAGCTTATTTAGGTTTGGGTTAGGGTCTGTTTTAGGGTTAGAGCTTAGTGGTTTTAATAGTAACATCGTCCAAGGAAATTTTTTTGTTAATGCACGAAAGGCGCAGAATTTTGAACGTTTGTTTTGAATTTTTTGATTGTGCAACGTTACACCTGATCCTGAAATCTGATTTGTCTGAGATCACGTGTCTGCAGAATTTTGTTACTAATGCCAAATCGACTACAATCACTATCGCTATATCAATACGGATTTGGTTTTGGTCTTAATGGGCCGGCTAAGCCGATCATTTGTTCTAGCCGATTTATTGACAAGATCACTGTAACACGTGTTAAACCAATTTATTCCAACTACCCCAGTATCGCCACCAAAAAAGTACGGACACGTGATTTTTTTGTGGCGCAAACCAATCAGATTTCAAGATCAGGTGTAACGTAACACGATCAGGAAAATTCAAAACAAACGTTCGTTTTGTCAAAAATCGCTTAGAACTCAAAAATCTGCATAGGAAGCCACCTTTCGTGCATTAACAAAAAAATTTCCTTGAACGATTTTACTATTAGGACACTAAAATTGTAACCTTAACATAGACCCTAACCCAACCTTAAACGAACTTAAAGATTTTTTGACGCGATCACGTGTCCGTACTTTTTTGGTGGCGATACTGGGGAAGATATTTATTCCGTACTCAAAATATCAAAAATGAAATATGAACTAATATTATACTAATTTATTAATAAAAGATTGTCCAAATAAAAAACCAGCGGCAATAAATATCATTTAAAACAAATAATTAGTTTTGTATTTAATGAACTTTAGCTTATTATGGCTGGTGTCCTTGCTCTAACCATTTTGCATATTTTTCCAATCGAATAGATTCTTCTTCTTCGGTTTCATTTGATTTGGAACCAGTCTTTTGATATTTTTGTTTACCATCGAATATTTGTGCCTCAATTCTGCGTCCGGCAAAAAACCGTCCATTCATTTTCTAAACGAATAATTTGGCTTTTATCAATCATATTCAAAATAAAGTACCAAAAAAAATAAAAAATAAATAAATAAAAAATACCAATACACAAGCCTCGGCACTTAGTTGATCTTTAAACTTAACAGACACTATACCATCAGGCTCTTTCTGTAATTCAAATGATTCATTTATATAAACAAGGATAACCAAGACTGAAAAGTTACAACTATTCCGAATATTACTTACATCATATAATACCACATTAGTTACTTCACCTAGCTTCTGACATTCTTCGCGGATGTCCTCTTTCAAATCCAAGATTAAACTAACATCGTTCTAATTTATAGAATATTCTGACTTATTGCAAATATGGAATTCTCAATTTAGTAAATTATAAAATTTTAAATGCCTCACATACCTCCAATTCTTCCAATGTAAACATATACTTCAGAATTACAATTTTACTATATCTTTCAGCTTTTTTTCCTGGTTCACTTTCAAACCAATCCAATTTTCTAGTATTTAATGAAATTTAAAATTAAAAAAATTACTCTGAACATATCGCGTTAGAATTAACTACAAAGCTGACTACTTTTCAAGCTGATGCAATTTTTTCTGGACTTTTTTCTTATCTGGCTTTACTGATGTGCTATTGTTGGTGTCTTCTGATTTTGGCATCTTCTCCTTAAATTGCGCCTGAATTGATAGAAAGACAAAATATGTAAAATTTCAATTATAGCAAGAAAATTAGAAAGCTTGCAATTGTATTTAATACCTTTTGTACTCTTATTTTAGAGGCTTCATCCGGACGAAGATCTGTTTCATCTAAAAGCTGACAAGCAAGATCAACTGATTCCTCTCTAAGATAAGTCACGAGAGCGTCACCTTTTAGGCGATCATGGTCATCTTTGTAAAGTTTAATTTTTGGTCCACCTAAGACATATTTCCTTGTATTAAGCATCGTAACATTTATAATACGGGACGAACTTAAGGATTAAGTAAACTACCGGTGTTCAAGTCTTCTAGCAAAACACCGCACTTTGAGAAAACTTCCGCTAATTCCTCAACAGTAATGTCAGGTGGTAGCCCGCTGACGTACACAGAAGTATTTGCTGGTTTTTTCTTTTGTGATTTTTGTTTTTTGCCATTCTGATCAGTCTTAAATCGTGAATCGGATATTGATTAGTCACTCGTTTGAATTGGATTAAACAGAGAATCATATAGTACACATACATCATCGGCAGTGTAAACTTTTTTTCGTTTTTCTCGTACCAATGGATTAGCAGGTTCCTTTGGTGGCGGACACAAAAACACAGAAAATTCGTTTCGTGTTGTCATTTGAAGTGACCAAATTTTTACTGTATCATGGTAAAGTATCTTACGCTTTCGTCGACACCAGGAACTGAATATGCGAGTTGTTGGAGCTTCAACAAAACTTCTTCGTCCTATTTTAGAGTTTTGCTGGTTGTTAATACCCTTTTCAAGGAATTACTTATCACAGAGCTAGGGACTTGCCATTTGGCACCACTGCTGTTGTTCTTCATTATATTCCCAAGTATTTCCATCCTCACTTGTATACGTCCATTTTCCTGTTTCCTCAACAAAGTGCATGTGTGGATCAGAAGCAAAGTCTGAAACAGAGGGCATAGCTTGGCTTGTTTCTTTTGCAAGCACCTCGTTCTTTATAGAGTCGCTCATCGATATCGATAATTATTTGTTGGAAAAAATGGGAAATTGTATTTTACCCAGCTACAGGGACGATCATCATTTTATATGCATCACGATTCTCGATCTCAATCATGTGATTTGGTACGAATGGAGGAGGAAACGTCGATGTTAAACATACACAGCTCACCCCCAGGCAGGGACCCTGAAAAATTTTGAAAAGATTATATCACAATAAATCGCAATTTTTAGTGGATATCGCTCTATAACACAATTTTATGACTTTTTCATGCGTAGTAGGTTACACGATAAAATTTAATTGGTTAGTTATTTTATTTCACCAATCAAATTGCATATAAATTCGTGTAACTTAGTCTATATAAA